CTATCTAGTTCTGCCCGTTCCTTGTCCTTCCACACAAGAACCCCGCTCTCCCGCGCTACCCGCACTCGTCCCTTTTATGCATACGTCATACTTCGTTACGTCATTCGATAGGCGCGCCAATGCGCGTCTATACAAGACCGCCTACTTTACACGACGATAACAGCGCAGGATTTTTTTGTTCGCCGTGGCTCGTTCGCAGCGTCTGATGAGTCTGATCGACGCATTGCGTGATGCATCAAGCGCGGAGGGACTCTCATTCGGATGCTTCTCCGCAGCATCCCCCATGAGCGGCCAAACAGGAGGCGGAGGGACGCGCTTACCGGACAAGGACGACCAACGACGACGACAACGTATTACGAGTGTGCGAAACAACAATTTGGCGAGGCGAGGCCCCGCGCATTATTTATTTCGGTACGTCTAGACGCCAGATTGTCTGTCCGCATGTCCGATCCGCGACGGAGAATTCGGTGGTGACGTCAGTCGTTGCATCGCCGCCGCCGCCGCCGCCGCCGCCGCCGCCGTCGTCGCTGCCGCCGCCGCCGTTCTCTCGCACGCGAGATCAAATTGCATCGTGTGTGTCTCTCCTTCGCTCACCCTATAACCCCTCCGACGGACATGTCGCACGCAGTTAAGCCCGCGTGTCTGCACGCCCGCGCGTGATCGCACGTGGGTACTTTATGTACCCGACGTGTCTTCCGAGTCTGGAGGGCCGGTTTCACCAACGTCGCGTAACTTTAACCTTATAGCTTAACTCATCCTTTATCTTTCTCTCTCTCTCTCTCTCTTTCCCTCTAACGAGGATAGAAGCAAGAAGTAACGGTGTGGCTTTACCGATTCACTGTTCCCGGCTTGAGACTAGAGCTAGAAATAGCTAGTTTCACTAACGCCGGTTAATTTTGACTGCTGATTCGCGGTTTCTAGTCCTAGTTCTAGTTACAGAAAGTAGTGAAGACTACTTTCTGTAACTAGACAACTAATATTAATATTTTTTAAAATTAAAATGAAATGGGATTGTCAATTGATCATATACTTACCTCTCGATGAGAATAATTTTATTCAAATTCCTTGACTTCAGTTACCATTTAAAACAAGCGAGCAAAAAGAAGCGATTTGAAATTTATATAGACGTGTTTAGAAAGCATACATTCGATTGAAGTTACACATGTGCTCACACCTATGTAATTTAAATACGTATTCTGTGCGAGATTAAGTGTGAAGTATGGGAAACATATGTGTGTGTGTTTGTGTGTGTCCGAGACACCGTAATACACTTCCTTCGACACACGTGCTCCTATGTCGTCTAGCCCGGTTTGAACAGGGATGAATAAGTGGTTACGTCGTCGGTCTCTATTCATCGATTTGTTTATGACACCCGTTCTGTTTTTTTTTCTCTCTTGCATGTTCATCACGATGAATCGATTTGAAGAATATGCATTCCATTACATTTTTTCGAAATATATTATACATCGATGTTTCATGTATACACATATTAGATATATATATATATATATATATATATATATATATAAAAGTAATAATATACATCAAAATAATGTCTAATATATAATAATCGCTTTATTAAATATTTTTCTAAAAGTTTATTATAAGAAATTTATAAAGAATTATCGCAAAAATTCGTTTGCGGCCTTTCATTAAAAATTTAAAAAGTTAATGGATATTAATGGAAGTTAAAAAGCTATGGAAACGGAACGTTTCGCATTTGTGATCCGTTGTGACTTTCCGTTCTTGAATACAATAATCGAGATCTTTGTAAAAATTGATTACAAATTATATTGTGTTGACTTGGATACCGTTACACTATGTTAAAGATAAATTTGCAGTTGATTTAAAAATACGTGAATAATTTTATCACCTTTTATCACAAATCCGAGTTCACTTGTACATCACGATTCTTATGTCAGTTTAATTCTTTCTTAAATCGCTAACTAACTTCGAGTCATTGGAGTAATTAAGGGCAATTGAAGTTTACAAATTTCCATGGAGATTTCCGCATGTAGAAGCAAATCGAATGTATCACGGTCGCCGCCTCTTTCTCTTTTTTATTCTCTTTTTTTTTAGACTTCTGCCGTCTACGTGCGTTGCCACGCATCGTATTTTCATGCACGCAGAGGCTGCATTTATTAAAAGCGATACATTATGATTCAAAGATCATATCTTTCGATTCGTCTAGACGGCGGAGAGGGAGGCACCCTATAAAGTCGTACGTGGCTGCCCCTGAAACAAGCATCCGAATACGACGAGCCTCCTTGTACATTTCTTTCTCGCGTAAAGCCTCGTGCGCTCCCGTCGTACATCGTTATACCTGCCAACTCCTCTTTTTTTTTTATCCGTCACTTCCCTCGCATTTCGTCGCTACGTTCCCTGAAGCCGTTCAATCAGAGGAACTTTATCTCGCCGAACAACCGAGACTTCGTGGAAACCAGACAAAGAGGAGAGAAACTCTTTCTCCTTCCGTTCCCTCTTCGCGCTAATCGAAATATATGAGAGCGACGGTGCCCCGGCTAAAAAGAGGCCACGATTCGATCGAGTTATCGCACGGTAGGAGATCGAGATCGATTTTTTGGTAGCAAAAGCCCGGCGCGCGCGCGCGCGTGTAGAGCATCATTTGCGGTCGCGGTGAAAGGAGGAAAAAAATTGACAATGTTCACCTGCAACGCGAAGAACCACGTATAATATACATATATATAGAGATATGTGATCGGTATACAGATTTTCGAGTGCCACGTGAGTATTTGTATGATCGAGGCACGAAGTGCCGGGACGATCCGCGGGACGATTTGCGAAATTTACAATAATCGGTACGGATATCGCAGATAAGTGACGGTGGAAAAGAAGATCGGAACAATCGGAAATTTGGTCAGGAGACCAATTCGATTCGGCACAATCTCCGGTAATCATCAACGGGCGGCAGATTCGCGCCGTGGTGGAAGAATACAAAAAAGTGTACGAAAAAGAAGAGGAAACGGTGGCGAAGAAGGGGGGCAGAAGAAGAAAGAGGTAAAACGTCGCGAGGAGAGAAAAGGCTGTCCTCCGCGGGATTTCGGTGCGCGAGGAAAAGGGGTTACCCGGGTTTGAAACGAGTGGAGGAGAAAGAGTGGAGCCGACGTGAGAGGCAAACGGTGGTGGAGAGAGAGAGAAAGTGGCCGAGAGGGAGAAAGAAAGAGAGATAGAGAAAGAGAGAGGGAGAGAGAAAGAGAGAGAGAGGGATAGAGGGGGAGGAGAGGGAAGAAAAAAGGAGTCATCGTAGTAACACACCGGCGCGTCTCCTCTCGCGGCTTCGTGGTTGTCTCGGAATTAGTGAGTAGACAGAATTATGTCTGTGAGCTGGCCAGCACGGCTCAGTTGAGACTTACTGCTCAGAGCGTGCACACGCATACTACGGAATCCTTCCTACTTACGCACCTCGCGCCTTCCTCGTGCGATTAGAACTTAGTCCGCGGCCGACCGGCAGACCAATCACGGTCCATTTTGCTAACGCGCCTCCGTACGAAACGGTGTCTTCTTCTTCATATGTGTTTGGACGTGCTGCGGAGTTACCTCGTTTGAAGAAGTAGCTAAGGTGACGGTATAGCACGGAGCCACCCGCTACAACGATGACGTCTTGAAGCCCCGAAGAAATTTCGGAGAACCCGGAGACATGTGATTAAGACATTTTTGTAATCACGCTTCTTGTTGTCGTCTTCCTCCGTGATTCTTCGAGGTGAGCGAAACACGAAATCGGAGATAGAGACTAATATAACGCGAACAATTAATTCAAATTGTTGAAAGTCAGTGGACTTTGAGGATTTAATAGCGAGAAAATCGACGAAAAATTTTCTCAGAAGCAAAAGCTATCGGTTATTTTCCTCCGAAAATTTGAAGATTATTTGCAGGCTGCAGTCGTCAAGCACGATTAACAAAATTTTCGGGGCATTTTTTTTCAGTGAGCCATTCACTCAGATTTAAAATTCCTGTGGACAGATAGCATTTCAAACTATTTAATCTCGCATACAAGACTATCTAATTTTTGGAATACGAGTGCTTCGATCGTAATTGCAGTCGAACATCATTCGAGTTCATTAAACTTTTTAGTGAATTTTTGTATTATTAGCAACAATGGGCATCAAATTCTTCGTACTTTTTTTATTGATATCCATCACAAGTAATGCGTGGTCTCGTCATCATCATGCTCACCGTCATCATTATCCAGAACACAGAAAAGAAAACAGTCACATAAATTTCGTCGAGCAAGAATCCAACTCTGGAAATAAAGAAACCACGGATACCGTGCAATTAGAACCGTTGAAGAAGAATGAAGAATACTCAGAGGTCTTAGATAGCAAAGGATCAATTCCCTTCAGTGCGCGGAGACTAGAGAAAATGTTGGAGAAGGCACTCCTGAAGATAATCACAGGTGATCTCGGCACGGCGGAGATGCTGCTGCTGAAGAGCTTGAATTACACGCCGGAAGAAGTACTGGCGATTCGCGAGCGGGAGCTCGGTAAGCGAAGGGATGAAGAATCGAGAAAAGCGGAGGAATCTAATGGGAAAAAATATTACGATGAGAATTTGTATAGAGATAAGGTGAAGCATTGGAATTATAACTCTATGGAATTCGAGTCGTCTCTCCGTAATGACCCCGACGTGGACGTGTCGAGAAACGAGAGGAGGAAGAACCGATACAAGGGCTTCGACTTTGACGCTTACAATCGCCAGGCGGTGCTCGATTACGAGAACCTGGCGTCCAAACTCGAGCTGCAGCAATCATCGTCCGAGCCTACAATGAATTTCGATTACGAGAACGAGTCGAGGAACACCGAGGAGCAAAACCCGTCGCAGAGCATTCATCAGAGCTTCGACCGTGCCATGGAGCCCCACGTGATCTTCAAGATCCCCTACGACGACTCCGAGTTCGATTCCAACTCCGAATCCGACGAAAAGTCAAAATTCGCGGACAGAGAAGCCGCCGTTTTGTCGAAGGGCCTGAAACATCGCATTCCTTCGTCCTTGAGACACACGACTGCAAGGAATGTTGCAAACTCCTTTCACGCTTCGTCATTGTCTACTTCTTCTTCTTCTTCGTCTGCCTCTTCTGCGGCTACCGGGCACACTCCACTTCCCATAGTAGACCAGCTAAGGAATTCTAAAGGCGTCGGGCCGGATTACCCGAAGAATCAGCCTACCTTCAGCACGACGGAGCTTCCGGAGCCTATTATCACGAGCACCGCTATTACGAATGCTACGTCTAACGCGACTTTCAGCGTGACAGATTTCGCCGATTCAGCGAACGACAGTAAATTGTCCGTCAAAGACGCGGACAGTACTGCGGCCGGCAGAAAAGTCAGCGAGTACGAGGGCCTGGAATGGGTTGAGGACGACGTTTATAGGGTGATACCGGCTTATGCGGATTCGTTGGGTTACGACAACCCCGACGAGAGCGAGACGTCGGAGTACGAGGAGAATCTAGGTTCCTCGCCGCAGGGAAACGAAAACGACACACTGGAGTATCAGAACGATTCTTCGGATCCGGCGAAGTTCTTCATAGCGAACGCCAATATCTCCGCCGAAAACGCATCATGGAGCAATCTGACTCCCTATCAACAACTAACGCGCAATCATCGTCGAAAGTAAGTTCAAATAAAAGAGCACTTTTTCATATTACGGGGAGAGATGAAAGTAACTTAATATTACTATTAATGATGATTATTTCAGTTGAAAAGCATCAATATGCACATATGCAGATTTGTAATTTTGTTTCATTTAAAATTTACTTCATTTCTCCTCGTACGAAATTCTATAATTGCGCCATAATTTTATTAAATGTTGTTTATCACGTGCCTTGCTTAGCGAAAACGCATATCTGATATTTACAATATTTGCTTCTTGTATCTTTTAGAGAAAACGTAACTTCAAACTTCGACAGGTAAGCCTCCCAGCAGGCCTTTATTATTCGGTAAGGCATTCCGGTAAGGTGTGCCGTGCACTTTTCTTGACCGCTTTATTTTAAAAGAGCACTTCTCACAATCGCTTAGCCCGCGAATTATTGCTATTCTCGTGTTTTGTATGAAACGTGTTGGTACCGCGAATGCTTTTAATAGCGAGATTGATTGTGGAATTGCAATCGCATGATTTTTCGCATTTCGCTTTCCCTCCCTCCCTCTCTCTCTCTCTCTCTCTTTCTCGCAAATATCTTTAAATATATATAATAGTATATATAATATATATATAGTATATATAATATATATAATAGTATATTAATGAATATTTTAAATCTATATAATTTTTTTCACATCTATATATAAATTTTCACTGTGTATTCCGAGAATTTGACGAAGCGCCGAGGAGAGATTGCGAAAGTCTTGCGTTACGTGTTATTCACAAGGTTTGAGAGTTTAGCAAAACAATCTCTAATCTATATATATTTAGAGCTCTTCGTTACACGCTGCGCGCGTATTTTTACATAACAAAACATATCGCGATATTTTTCTGTCTGCAGTTTCAAATCTTCTATTCTTGAGCGTGATTTGTCTTATGCGATAAAAAAATTTTCCAGTATGACGTAAACTCATTATTGCATGACGCCGACTAATCATTTTTTTCATACGCAGCGTATTCATTTGCGCGCGTGGCACGCGCGAGCGTCTTGGAAATTGGAAGATTCGATGCGTAAACGCACGAGAGGCAAATCCGCCGACGTCGGCCGGCGACGACGCGGTCGGCATCGGCGTTCTCAGCGAAACGTTGCCCTCGTCACGTAAAAATATCTCGATGAACCGATAAAAGTATCGCGTGGAAGAGAAGCAAAGAAAAAGCTTAGTGGAGCAGAGGAAAATTGCGCGTTTCGTGATTTTTGCATGTCAAGCAATAATACTTGATGCAACTTATTTCACTTTATCACATCAGGACGCGCAAAATATCTGGATAGAAGAAAATTTTAATCTTAGTTTTAATCTTCGAAGGAAGATTTAATCTGTTGAGATACTCCTACGTGAGAGCATATTACAGCATCGTAAAATCGAAATTGACGAATAACATCGATGATTAATGCGTCAATCAAATACAATACATTACGGTTTTCGTACAGATAAAACAAGACTGTTTCTCGTAAAAAGATAAGAGATCCGAAGGCGCAATAAAGTTTTGCGCGAGGGACAGGTTTAGGATAGAGAGTGTTCTCAGCCAGGAAGGATATGCGCGGTGGAAATTCCGTTGCGGTCTCTAGCTGTGTGTTTTTAAATCGCCCTCTCCCGTTTCCCCACGACTGCTGCTCTCGCAGCAGCCCCACTCGTGCGGGTGTGCGCGGGCGTTTCTTTTATTTTATTAAGTCTAGACGCGTAAATGCATTCGTGCCGGCACTGGCGTAGCCCGTCTCGAGAGTCCTCCGAGAGCGCGTGCTGTTAGCCGATGCATTCGTGCATCGCTCGCACGGTCGTGCGCGCGGTTGCATCGAGGATCCGCCGGCCGGCTATTATCCTCGAAGCTTTCACACACACGGCGTCTTCGTTTCCAATTCATCCACTTCACTTCAATTTATCCTGCAAATTCGCGTCCTCCTGAGGGACGTGAATTGATCTCTCGGTTACGAAATAATAAATGTCAAAGAGTCTGTCTTCGATTTATTTCTGCAGCCATTTAAATAGCGATCCTTTGCAGTTTTAATTGCTTTTCTCGTGGTCGCAAACTTTTTTTTAATTCAGCCCGACGAAAATGTCGAGCGTTTGATTCGAACGGTGATAGAAATATCGGGAAGAGGGGAAGGATGTCACGTCTGGACGGAACTCTTTCGCGGCCGGACACAATACGAGTGTGTCGGCGGCTCGCGCAATTCGAAGTCTCCGAGACATTCGAGTTGAGCACCCCCGTAATCGCCGGGTGTCTAGTCGGGCTGCAGTTAGAACTCTCTTACGAGGTTACGTAACACATTTCAATTTAATGCGTTGACCTTGTCTATGCGTCTCTCTTCCTATGTCGACGGAGACGGAGCGACGGTGTGCGCGACGGAGAGAGAGGAGGAAGTTTTCGCCGGTGATCCCCTCGGTCCTCGTCGTTCTCTCCTCACTACCTCTCGCCCTGCATTCCGCCGCCGCCGTCGCACCGCCAGACGGTGCAATGTGCATTTTTACGGACGGCCCAATCAGGCCGCCGCGCCGGTTACGCATCGTCGGCCTATCGCGTCGCAAGGAACCGTTTTTTTTTCTATTCTTTCTTACCGTTTCTTTTTTTCCTCTCTCTCTCTCTCTCTCTCTCTCTCTCTCTCTCTTTAACCGTTTTTTTCCTCTTTCTTTTAAGCTGTAACTAATGTCCCGGGCCAAGACATTAAAATTTTCACCGACGCGCCTCGATAGCTTTCTTTTCTCTCTCTTTCTTGCCCCCCTTCCCCTCTTTCCGTCGCATTTTCCCTATCTAATCTCCAACGCTAATGGGCAACACGGCGATTCCCGGCTATGCTCCAGTGAATTTCATTATCGCGCGACACCCGGCCCACGAGGCGAGAGCGAGGAGGATCCACCGGCGCGCACCGCCACGCCGGTTCTCATGATGCAACGGCCTCCAGACTCTCCAGGTCCTTCCCTTTCCCAGACGGCGGACAGACGTGGCACGTACGCAACGAGCCGGCGCGAAACGCGTGACTTGGCCGCAAGCTAGATTAACGAGCATGCCTAGAATCGAACGCGAGGGGCTCGGCCGCAGCCGCAGAGAGCCGTGATTTCGGAGAAGAGCGTCGTAACTTCTCCGCTGTCTCTCTCTCCGCAAGAAAACAGGGTCTATTTTCTAGGTAACTCGATAAGACCGAGATGAAAAATGGAGTTTGCCTTTTTAGTTGTCATTGTTTTTTTTTTGGTTCCTCGAAGAGACGCGGCATTCGAATCTTCACAGCAGCCCATTTATCTTTTCCTTTCAGAAGTGAAAGGAAGGAGTTGAGACAGATTTGTAGAATTCGAGAATTACGAAGAAAATTTTTGCGTATTTGTCTTCTCTTCTATTATCCATATCCTTCCTGTTGATTTTGTTAGAGATTCGCTTTCTCACACTCACATTTTTTCTTCTCTTTCCCCTCTACATATCTTCTTCTTTTCTTCTCTTTTCCGTTATTACGGAAAATACATTTTTCTGATACTCAAGTAATCAATGAGGTCGTTGACGTGGTTCAGCTGCACTGAAACCTCCCGAGTGGGCGTCTCGGATACGGCAGTCCTTGTCGATGACGTAGAGAAATGACGCTCATCTTTCTTCCCCTTTCGTCCCCCATCGCCGTTCCTTTTTTTTCCTATTCCACCGGTCGTTGCTTAATGACTCGAAAATTTATTATGCAATCCCGCGGTGTCTCGACCGATCGTCTCGTCGTCGCCGTCATCTTTCGAAACCGTCGACAACCGTCTGCCTGTGATGAAAGTCTCCGGAGAGGCCGTGCGGGCCCCCGGCGCGCAAATAAACAAGTTCTCGTCTTGGTATCGACGAAAATCATGGGATCGCAATTTTAATATTGCAAACACGAAGTCTAAAAACTATAATAATAGCACCGGGTAGACGCGTCGGATGGATGCAATAGGTCACACATTGTGCTACCCGTCGCGTCGGGGAAAAAGAGTGAAATTCGAGTCACGCGAACGCGAACAACCGACGTCCAGTCGAGCCGAAGAAAAAGTCTCTGTAGGCCGGACGATGCAAATGAGTCTCTCGGTCGAGACGTGTCCTGGGAATGAACTTAAGATTCGAGACGCGGCCTTAAGAAATTAAGGTTTCGCCGAGACCAGACGGAAAGTCGAGGTGATTGGGGTGCCGGTGTATCCGCCGACTGTCTAGCCGCTGTCTGCAACGTGTAATAAATGCCTCCGAGCCGTACCGTGCCTCTGTAGGTCACTGACCATCGTCCATTGGCCCGTGTCGGCACCCGGAAGAGTCCGTCGGGAACCTGGAGGTGAAAATTCTCGAGCCGACAGACGCGCCACCGCACTATAAGTTGACGAAGCGTAATCATCTTTCCTAAATTGCAAAATCTAGAGCTTGTAAAATTTCACAGACTCAGAATTCTCAGGAAACTCCAAAATATGCTCCGAAAACATTTCAATACTATTTAAAAATGTTAGGGCATTTTTAAATCTCTCTCTCTCTCTCTCTCTCTCGGCACGATTATTTAAATATTTTTGGAGTCTTGAGGTCAAACAAGTTATTTTGTCTCTCTCGAAAAAACTCGACACTTGATTTATATTTTATTGCTTTACAGGGAAGAACAATCTTCTGAAACTTTTAAATATTTTGACTCAAGCTCTTGCATTTCTTCTTTTTTTAATTAATATCTCATGCGAGATTAATAAAAATAATTCTACTAACACGCTGAAGTTGTTCTACTAACACGCTGAAACTGGCTTTCATATTGCTACTCATCAAAGGCTTAAAAGCTTGGTGTGTGATATCATACGTCTTTTGTACGTTTTTTGTATATTTAGGCATTCCGTGTAATCTAATAAACTTTGATCTATCTGTGCAGTCAAGGCCAGAGGGCAATCGAAGATATTAAGCTGAAGATTCTCGCGTTAACTGGGAGATTCAACCTTAGCACCAACACCAATCAGGTCCAACGCGAGAAACTTGACATGATTTCGCCCGTTTGTGAGTAATTTAAAATCGTTCATTTATTTCCGACGTGTTTTCAAAAGTAAGAAGCAGAGTGGCAGAGACATCCCTTCGAAAATATTGTTTATCGGATATGTAACGAATGCGCGATGCATTGTATAGGTCAGATACCTCGAAATACGGATTCTGAGGCATGGTTGGATCCGTTTTCGATGAACATGCACTTTCAATTGAATCTTACCTCCGGTGATTACATCGTCGCCGCGAGATTGCGAATTTACAAGTTACCGCAAGAAAATGTCACGACTTCCGACTCCCGACTTTCGAGTCCTTTATACTCCGAGGAGGAAGATGACGAGAAGAAGATCAGGATATCCGTTTATTACTACACGAAGTCGCTGAAGAAGCATCGATGTGAGTATCTAATCGTTCGTCAGGTTGTTGAATTTATTTACACGTGAATATTTAAAGAATTTAGAAAATTGCGATTTCTGCAGCAAAGAAACGACTGATGGACTCCATCGTGACGCCTCTGACGGCCGAAGGGAGTCATCTGGTGCTGGATGTCAAGCAGAGCCTGAGATTCTGGCGACCGACACAGCGAAATCCACATGGTAACAATCACGGTTTGGTGATTCAGATAGAGGACCAGGACGGCCGGCCGCTAAAACCGGCTTTGTACATCAAGCAATCGTCTTGCGTGGAGAACGATTCCGATGAGAAGGCATGTGAGTGTGTGATCTAACAATACTAACTCCCGTTTGAGTCTTGGATTGACCCTTGGCACATTTTTGCGTAAGACTAAAAACAATGCGCGTAGTAACACTAGAAACGAAAGTATGTTAATAATGTGTTTTAATTGAAATTTATAAATTAATATCAGTTTAAATGATGAATAGAGACTTTTTAATTATTTTTAATGACCGCATGTCTGATTTGAATTGTTTATGACTTGGTAATTTCATTAATAATTAGTGCCTCAGTAATTTAATTAAGGAGAATGGAAAATAAATTTTTAAAAATCTTTTGCAACAATTCATATTTTTTAATATAAAACATAGATGTGTGTCGCTCAATTAATCCATTTTTATTTCTCAATATTCTTGTCTGAAAAATATTCTTTTTTTTTTCTACAGACCAGCGCGTACCTGCACTTTTCGTCCGAGCCTGTCCTCATTACGTTCGCATCGTAAATGACAAACAAGTCACATATGTCACGATGCGAAATTGTAGGCATTGATGGCAAAATGCACTTGACCAGGAAGCAAAAGAATTTATTTCGAAATAAAAAGAATCGACTTAAACAATATTGTTATCATCATTATCTAGAAATACTTGCTATTAACACGTAAAAAAACGTGCACTTTTATTGTATAAACTCACAGTTGTATTGAGAAATATCTATCCGGATTGTTAAAAATAGCACCCCAGAAATATCTACTCCGAGAATAGCAACTCAAAGAAAAATATCTACTCAGAAATATTATATAAGAATGAAATTTACCAAGTACTGGATTTTAAATTAAAAAATTCCACATCAAACATGAAGAAATTTAATACTCGAATAATAGACTAGCAAGCATATGAACGCAGAGACCGAACTATCAAATAGAATGTCCGTCGTTTTGAGCATTACTTTTACAAGAAATGCAATTTTTTACTAATTGCTTTTTTCACTGTTTATTTGAAATTTATTTAAAAAAAAATGCAGTTTCGGCTTTAAATAAATAATAATAGTTTAATTGTAAAAAAATGTAGTTTTGTAAGAATTCTTTATATAGACTGTTTACTATTAACTTAAAGAAGAATTATTTAAATATAATAAGATATATATATAATAAAATATATATATATATATATATATATATATATATATGTATACATATGCATATAAGAGTTATTATTAATTCTTGTATCTTAAGGTAAAGTATCGTATTGTGTAATGTACATATAATTAAGTGTAAAGTAGCCATGACTTATGCAAACGTGCTCATGACTGATATAGCCAAATGTAAAAGTTTAGATTCATATATTTCTCTCTCTATTTATGTTAAATATAGTTAGATCGATTAAGGGATCTTTTCTCCGAGTCTTTAGTTAGGCGAATCCGCGGAGAGTTTTCTCTGCGAAAACGTTGCAGATTTTTCGGAAAGTCTTTTCTTGTCTTGAAATTGCAGCGTTTTCTTACGATACTTACAATATATGTGACAAAGGAAGCGTTTAATGTTTAATGCCTTCTGCGGTGTATATAATGTATATTTCCATGACAAGATAAATAAATTCATTTGTAGTAAGATATATATGTATGAAATACATTTATACACTCTGCCCAAATATTATGAGATTCAATGAACGATAATCCCTCCCCTCTTTCTATAATTTTCGTATGGAATTTTATGATTCTGGAGTTATTAGAGAAAAAATATAATATGTATTGTACAAAACATATTTTATTAAACATATTTTTATTAAAAAGTTTTTTTTTTTTTTTTTTTAGGAAAATTCAACATTCATAACAAATCGATTTATACATCAGATCGATAGCGTTATAATAAGTAAAAAAGCAAAAATATGGTTATTTCATGTTTGAACCATATCAACTTAAAAAACTAGAAAATAAAAATAAAATCTGTACAAGTACAATGCGATAGCGATAAGGTACAAAAAAGAATCCTTAAATATTCAATTAAATCGATGGGTAAATTTACGGACCAAAACACAATTATTAATAAATACGTTGTATACGCGCGCGTTCAGATTATTAATAGTGCATCATTTCTTCATGATCAACTGAATTAAACAATATGTTTTCCTGTTAACATGTATTCTCTCCGAAGACAAATGCATTTTATTATTAAGAATTAAGATTCTTTTTACAATCGTAATCCACGCTTGTTTTTGTAATTCAAAAATTACGTAATAACCATCTTCAGCCGGCTACAGATGTTTCTTAGGATAATCTTAGAGCACATCTTTACTGACCAACCAATCAATTTTTTACTGGTTTTGCTTCCACTGCATATTTAACAAACCTTAATAGCACAATATTGGCAAATTTATTGGCCCAATGTATCCTCAATGTAAACACATCGGTGCAAAAAAATATTGGACCAAAATTGAAGCAAATTGTGCTACTAGAAAGATTTTCGTTAGAAAAGTTTCGATAAAGGCGAGATTATTTAGAAAAGTCGAATAACCGACTTTAATTACTCAATTTCTCAGCCGAGTTCTATCTGGTCAAATATTGTCGATTGTGTTACAGTCTATAAATAAGGACGATCCCCCTTGGCCTAACTATCTCGATCGAGGGAGTCTAAAGTATCGTTGCTGGATGAATGCGCGAGGTCACTTAACTCGTCCAAATGCTTCTGCCGTTTTCTGACGTTCCAGTGAAGGCATTCGGCTAAGGAATCGAACCAGTCGGTGATTTGGTCGGCTGCGCAAATGCTAGGCACCGGGTATATAGAGGTGGTTACCTTCAAACTGAAAAATAAATACGATTCTCTAATAATTATTCAATCCGACAAGATTAAACGAATCTAAGCGAAAGCTAATATGGTTGAAAGTTTACTTCGCGACAAAATAAATGGTTACAAAATTTATTTAGGTTGTGGCTTAATTATTTATAGTTACTTGCAGAAAAAATGTATATATTAAGAAAATGATTCATATATTTAAATAAAAATGATATGTTCTTATGCAAGAGAATATTTGCTTGCAGTGATTTCGTTATGATAAGCGAAAGCCTTCAATTTAATGTTTATGCATAAAATGTGTATTTATTGCAAGTATGAATAATACAATGTAAAGTACCATCACCCTGCAGTCCAGCCAACGTCTCCAGAAAGATATTCTAATGTGAAATATGGGTTGCAAGGGGAATATTAAAATTGGGCGAAGAATAAATAAGCATATGGTAGATAATTTTAAAATATGACTTACAAAAATAAAAATTATATATTATATCGTATGAATTTGAAGTGAAGAGACTGAAAAAGTTCGATGATATAAAATGAAAAAAATGAGAAGAGTGCCGAAAAGCTGATTAGAAAGAGATATCTTACGCGGAATGGTATATGAAATTTATAAATATAATTTTGGAAAAAAACGAATAAAATTATGTATAATGCAATGAGGCATAGATGTAGAGAAAAAGAGATCTTGGCGAAATCAGGACAAACCTGTCACCGACACGCAGCTCTTGCTGATTGCGACCATCGAAGGAGACGTAAGCTGTACTGCGGGCATTGCTGTTCGCCTTTATCTGAAATAATTGTAAAAGAAGCAAACGATTAGACGGAGCTGCCGAGCGTTTCGGTTTTACCTGTCACCGTGGAAGAGCTCCTGCCTATTTCTACCGTCGAAGGACACCCACGAGGTATTTCTGCTGTCGGGTGAAACCGAGATCTGCGGTGAGAAGCAAGACGATCATGTTAATTGCAACGATGATTACCTGCGGTACCGCCGCAATTTGTCTCGAAATAATTTCTTGGATTCCTTTTTTCAAAGTCTGTTGTTGTCTAACAAGTTTTTTTTACGCATTCAGTTGTTATTCTAGAATGATGTATAAAAAGACATAGTTTTTAGCTTTAAAAATTTAAATTGGAATAAATTAAAATATTTTAAAATAATTTCGAAATCTACGAAAAATTAATGAAGGAGATTCACGTTATTATGGATGGAACAATTTTTCTTTAGTCACAGAAGGTTGTTTCATGAGAGGAAATTAAATCCATTTCCAATAAGTTCGGACTTTGAAAACTTTTGTGTGAAACTTTAAAATAGCACATGATCCGTCAATCGAGGAATGTGGGTAACAGTTGTTGGAATCAGATTTTCTTTTGTGACACGTGGTTGAGAAATTTCAGCACAAGAAAAGAGCCTTCATGGTTTAAGTCAAATAAATCCTAGGATTTCAAAATTTACGAAAATTTCATTGCGACTACAATGTTTCTTCACAGCAGGCTGTTTTATGGAAAGAAATGAATTATGTCTCACAAGTTCGGATATCTTGAAAACTTTTGTGTGAAAACTTCGAGGTAACATATAGGAATGTAGATGACATTCATTGGAATCAGATTTCCTTTTATGGAACGTTAATACGAGCTATAGATTTTGGCACGAAAAAAGAACTTTCAACATCGATTCAAGTGTGAAACTAATCCCAGCACCTATTATAAATCTTAAAACGAGCAAATAAGATTTGATTCTATTTTTATGAACCAAAAAAGATAGCTTTGTTTGAACACTTTTAACCCATTTTCCCACCATCGTAAATGCAGTTGACGGTAAAACGTCCTATTAGCGTGTCGTTATTTCTTAAAAGTTTAAAGAACTACCTTGAGCTCGACCCCGGCAGGTACGACAATCGGCCTGAAGGACAGAGAGTGAGGGCAGATAGGCGTGATCATAATGGCAGGAACTGAAGGATGAATCATACTGGCCCCAGCGGCGACTGCATAAGCGGTCGACCCGGTCGGCGTGCTCACGATCAAGCCGTCACCCTGGACGCTCGTGACGTGCTTGCCGTCAATGAATAGGTCGATATTCGAAAGGTAAGGTGAGGGCCCTCGATCCACTACAACCTCATTCAATACCAAGAGACTCGTCGGCGGTTCTGCCAGCTGACTGTCTTCATTCTTCCGTATAATGACGCATCTAAGACGACTCCTTAAAGTTAAGGCCGCATTACCTAGGATCGGGAACAATATACAATATAAATTTGACGATTAGAAGAAAGAAATACGTAAAACGAATTGATGACTAACCTTCGAGAACATTGGTCACTTGCTCCTGAAAATTATCAAATTCGAAGGGTGTGAGAAATCCTAAGGAACCAAGGTGAAATGCCATTACAGGTGGTACTGACTGTTGGAACAGCAGACTGGCATAAAGAAGTGTGCCGTCGCCTCCCAAGCAGACGATAAAATCAATTTTATCCTGGAAAAGGAAATCAGTGCACCCCACTTAAAGCAAAAATTCGGTTATTCTTTGTCGTTCGATAAATAATTAAATTGAATCCGATGTAAATATAAAAAACGGAGATCTTTAGACCTTACAAGAAAGTCTCAAGTTGTAATAAAACGTAATTTAAAACTTTCATTAAATATATCAAAGTAAACGAAGATTATTACCTGCAAGTCATCTGTGCCATCCCTAAAGGTTTGTAATCTATCCCGAACGCTTTGAAACCTAGGATCTCTGGCGAGAGCTGGGTCCTCCAGAACAGAGGCTTCCACAAAGACAACCATCCGCTTTTCCTGCATTTAAATAAAGAACAAATAAAGTCCGCAAAGGCCATCATTTACTTTGCCTACATCAAACATCAAACAGAAATGTTAAATTCTATCAAAATGTCACGAATAAAAGCTATAATTCGCATATGTTGCATCTATGTGTCACAGAATTTCAGCATTATAGTTTTACTATATACTGTTAGCAGAAACAATATTTTATAATAGTTTCTAAATTCAGGGTTGGGTAAGAATATTTTTTAATTAAGTTAAGTTAAAGTTAACAGTCTAAAAATTTAACTTAGTTGCCTTGATGTGTGTTCTCAAATTTGAGTTTGAAGACACTAACTTAGACATGTATTTTATTTTGAGTTTAGAGCACTAAAAATGTAACTTCAAGAAAGTTAGATCAAAAGTTAATAGTTAGCAATGAAATGTAACTAAATTAAGTTAAAAGTTAAGAGCCTAAAACTAAGTTAAGTTAAAATTATTTAACTTTTTAACTTTTTAACTTAACTTTTATCTTTTTAACTAGTCACTACCCAACCCTATCTAAATTAAAGATAAATAACTTCTTTTATGTCGACACATATGCTTGGCCTTTTATGCATTCACAATGGAATAGAATAATATGATTTAAAAAATAGAGATGTAATTTAAATAAAAATGATGTCTATCTTTTTTTATGTATAAAATTGACAAGAAATCAATCTTAAAAGTGAAATCATAAAAGTGAAAGAAATCAAAAGAAATCAATTTGTATGACACAATATATTATAAAAAATATATGTATAACATATATAAATTGTTTCTTTATGATTTTTTTACATTATATAGATTATTATGTATACATATAGATTAAATATAGTATTGTATAGACTATAGGTGATATAACTGACTATATCTCTTTCCCCATTATACAGTAGATATAAGAGCATACAACTAGTATAGACTAGATTAATAAAAAATTAATATTAATATTAAGAATATATTTTTAAAAATGTGAATTGGAAATTAGGACAGATTTTTCATGCAAATGAAATGAATTAATTAATTTTATAATATTTTACAATATTGTATTAATTAATTTTTTTACAATGTTTTACAGAAAGTGTGCTGACATCAGTTTGTGGATCCGTTAATCAAAATCTTGCGAGATAGGGATATCGCAATCTTTTGATATTTTAAATGATCTGATTAACATTTACCTCTATCAACCATGTGACCAACTGAACAAACGGTGGCAAGACTGACGAGTCACGGACCTTCTTGATGACCAGAACAGAGAGCGGCGGCTTGTACCACGTCAGCCTCTGAGAGGCCGGGTCCTGAATGGTCCTACAAATGAACGAGGTAAACTATTACGATCGTTACATTTTCTCTTCCAATCTGTAATTATCAAACTGAACTGAACCGCTGTCTCTTGCGTATCAGAGTTATCTTTCGTACAGTGTTGTATAAATACAAATTTATCGCAGACTAAGGTCATGGAGTCGCGTGAGTTAAAAAATGAAACTCTGAAGTATACTTTATGCCAAGTTATAATCGAAAACAAATCTTGCGTACGAATTTCTATTGCGCGTCTATCGATTCTATACAGGCTTCGTCTAATTATTCGTGAACCATCGTTGCGTACGGTATGAATGTCAAGAAACAATCGAAGCAAAGAGACAAAGGTGACGACTGATGAAATGTAAAGAAGCGCCGACCCCGATGACGATTTCTTTTACCCTTCATAATTATTGCGAGGATTACATTATTATATTCTACTGAAGTTTTTCTGCGCACTTGCAAAAACTGCAGTTTTCAGTTGCGCATTTTATGCACCCGTGAAAAAATAATTAAGCAAAACAATTTGTATAACTCGTGGTGAACAGCTGATTGAATTGCCTGGAGAAGAAAAACAGCGAAATAAAAAAATTTCGCAAATATTTTTTTTCCAAATATTTATCCGCGAAGATTTATCAGCCAGATATGCAAGTGGAGATTTCAAGTGACATTTAAAATATAACTCAAAATATTAACGTAAAATATTATAGTAGTCACGACTTTTGTAACTTTTTACATAATAACCGGTTCAATAATCATCTGTCAAGAAAACTTAAATGAATCTGCAGAAATCTGCTTGATAATGTTCTAAATGTAATGCAACGGCGACTTTGTTGCGAATATCATGCACTGACTAATCGCAAATGCCAATAATTTCCATTCTTTTTCCTGCCAATTAAATCATCATGCATTTTCCTCGTGCACCGATCCGAATCGCTCCGAACTATCATTTTCTATAAATATTACACGTGTTCAGTTAATAAGATTACAATTACAAGTCAGCTATCTAATATGTTGTGTAGTTCGTTAATACGTTGTTGTAATTCTAAATATTCGTCAGAGATAATCTTAAAATATATATTCATGCGTCAGATTCAAGTAGGGAATCGATAACTTGTCCGACTGCCAAACTTCACGAGCTTGATTAAAATAAAGCGAGCTATGAGATTTGATGATGTTGCTAATGTTTAATAAATATTTTTTATATTTTTAACTTTAAAAAAAAATAAAGAGATACACTGTTAAATATTAAAGAATTAAAATTAAATCAATTTTTTGAGTTAAATACTACTTTGCTGTTTTTAACATAAAACAGTTTTTTTTTTAAACAATCACATCTAATCAGCCCATTTCTATGATTGAATTATTTAGTTTCGGAATAAGCAGCACCCATATTAACGTAATACATTTAAATAATACATTAAATTTAAATAACTTAATAGATTTCTTGAATTAATTCTTTATTGAATTGATTCTTTAATTTCTTTTAAATAAATTAATGGCATATTAAGTAGGAGCCAATAGCGACTTACAGGAATGATTAAAAATGACTGTAAAACAACTAAAATTAAATGAGATAATTTGACATTACGAATTTAATAATCCAAATTATTAATGTAAAAAAATTAAGACTTACAGCGAGTTCACTAAATCAAGAAAAATGTCAGAATAATTCATATTAGATACACTTAACACTGATATTTCTATAAGACTTTCTCTTTTATAACAAAACTTCAGTTCGCGTTCACCAATCAATTTATCACCAAAGTAATAAAAAGCAATCCTTTGCAACTTGTCAATCGATGTTTAAGGAAGTACAATTCCTGCGTGTGCCACGAAGTAATAAACAGTCAACTACTATCTGAACACCTAAAAAGTGTCGTACGTCTCGGCAACCTACCTCGCTGTTCCAACCATGATGCGGCACTGGTTGAGGAACGCGCGCTCACTGACCACTCAAGTAAAAGATAGACATTTAAACGGAAACGTCGCGCACGCGCGTGCACATTGTATGCACGCGCGGGAAATCACGTCGCCGGCGTCTGATTTATTGTATATACAAACATGTTTTTTCAAGCTGACAGAAAATTATCATATTCATGATGAAGCGTCCACTATTAATGTTCTTCAGAAATTTTTTGGTGCATAGATATTCATTATATGTAATAAATCATTTATGCGGATGTGTATAAACATAAAAAATCTCAAATTTTCTGCGTATATATATGCATATATGTGTATATATACACACATACACAGAGTTTCTTTTCTTTCAGAATAAAATTATATACATCCAAAAGTTACATTTTTTAAATAATTATTAAGAAACCAAAATTAATTTAAGCAAAAAATAATAGAAATATACTCACCCGCAAAAGAAACGTGCAACTGTAATATCATAGTTAACAGAAATTAACCTAAATTAAAACATGACCTGTAATCAACTTTGTAGAGAAGATGTTTTAAGATTACATTACTGTACTCTTCAAATTTTCTGAAATGACTTTTCTCTTTTGAAGTGAATGTCACTCCAAAAAAGTGAAAATACCATGCCTTTCAAGTAGCCGAGTGGCAGTATTTTCAATCTTCTGGAATGAGATTTACTCCAGAAAATTTAAAGAGTAATCTTAAAACATGTCTTGTATACGAAATAAATACATAATTTTGAGGGTGAGTATATTTCTATTTTTTAATTATTTTACGCTCTTGCTATTTTTTAATTATTTTACAACTCTTGCTTAAGTTAATTCTGTCTCCCTCTTTTAATTACTTAAAAAATGTAATTTGTAACGTAAAAATTAATCGGTACACAAAAATAAATAAGTTTTAATTTTTTACAAAGTATATTTGGAAAAGAGAAATATTTCAATATGTGTATACTATACATTTAAAATATTCTCTTGGCGTATAATGTCACGCTTAGTCATCATTCCTTGCAAAAAGAAATGCAAATGAGTTTCGTCGATCGTTTCTAATGTGTTCGACATTTATTACATGAACGCCGCGATTACCATCATGATATGATTGTTTGCTAATGAAGACGATCATTTCCTACCAAAGAAAGCGAATATCACCCGACGAATGAGGCGTTACGAGTACGGAGTTCTTCTTTTACGCCCGCCTTTTCGGAAGATTAATAACTTCTTTAATCAATAATTACCTCTGTGATAATATCAATTTACGATTATTACAAATCTGAGATGACGTGACCATGAAATGTTTCTCTTGTAATTCAATTAATGATGCTAATATCAAATGAGGGCACAATCAAGGACGATTCTAATGTATTGAATTGTGTGAATAACAATAAAGTATTCAATCAAAGGAGAGGGAATAGAAATATTCTATGTAATAATTAATTGTGCCTTTCAATGTCTCCAACAAAATATGCAATGTATAAATTACTTACATAACCGTTACAGAATTTTTCATGATACCCCCACATCGCCCGAAGTGTTGAACGGGACTCGGTGCGTTTAGACTCCTCGTTCTCCTGCGAAATAAAAAGAAAACATGTGTTAAACATGAAAAATCATCAGATACGCCGAATAATCTCATCAGCTTCATATGTATAGATATCACGAAAAAATTTGAGTATATTCAACTCAAGACCCTGACCTTCGAAGTGATAACTTCTCCATTCCTCACTATTAGTCATTCTTTATGGGGAAAATAAATGGCGAAAGAATCGGTTTATTTTGCTTCCTTGTGTCAAAGAACAACTTCTTTTTAACGCATTTGTTTAAAAACAATATGTAAAATAGGTTTTCTTTATTTATTTTATTTAGAAATCAGATAATAAATGAATACAAAATAAATATATTAAAAACATGTTTAACACCTCGCGTGCTATCAATTGTATTTATAGCGGTTGTTTTATATTGTCGCACAATGTCGATTATAAAAACAAATTTGAATGTGATTAATTGCTGATACTGCGTTAGTTGAAATTGTGCTGAGTTAAGATAATTACTAGAATTCGACATAATTATTGCTGGAGTTTGACATAATTATTGATATATGAACAGATTGCAATTATAATGCATTAGTTTTTTAACGTTAATAGACAAGTTTTTTCCTATCTTGTTATCGCGATGCAATTACGTCATATTTTTTTTATGAGTCTAACAAGTGTCACGCGCCAAACACACTTGTTACGTAGGAAAACGTATCCCATAGAAGAACGCTTCAAATTCACTAGTTTCAATTTCGCACCATGTTTTTTTTATGACGTAATCAAGCACAAAATAATAACGCCAGAATTAGGACTTTGTAATTATATATATATATATATTATAAACAGACACACACACATACACAACATACACACAATTTTAATTTTGATAATTTCTAGAAACAACTAGCCAGCTTGAAATATTTGCCATCTCGAGTTCTGTAAATTATTTACCGTAACATTTGCAATATAGTTTTCTACGATAAGAGATAATTATCGAGAAAGGTCTACCTGAGGATACGATTTTGTAGACGTAGAGTATTGTCCAACGACGAGTTATTTGATCCACCGATGTCAAAAACGACGTCACTGATTTCATTGTCATTTAAATGCGACATTTGATCGGCCATATCTTGCACCGGTTGATAAGAAAAGTAGTACGAATAGAAACTCTCTTTGCAACACTCTATACGCACAGAATATTTTAAAATATTTTTGATGAAACGTGTATAGGTAAAGTCAGTATTTATTTGTCTAACAGTTATTACGAGAAGAATAAAATAAATGGATAAGAGAATAAAATGAAATGATAAAAGTGAACAACATTGATAAGATATAAGAATTATCATGACCGAGCGAATAACGATATACCCTTGAAGTTTTTAACGAGCCACAGCGGGATCACATGTAGATACCGTGCTACACGCGAAGTAGTATTTCGTGACAAAGTGATGCCAAAATGATATATTTTTAGATTCACGTACGATCAGCCGGAAGAAATTACGGTTACTGAAATCAACATCATCCAATTCCGTACGTATCAAATTGGAATTGCAATTGCTCTACCGCTAATTAAAATCTATCTTGTATGTATAATATATGAAAGTAGTATGTTTAAGTGAAAATAAGTCAGCATATTTCTAAAATAATTTATTTCACTATCGTGAAATGTTCATTTAACTTTTGCCTTTCATTATATTTGAAACTTTCTTTTATCCAGCCTGTTGAATTTACTCAGAGCATATATTCTATAATTTTATGATTATCACGCGACTTTCACGAGCATGATCGTACGATTGGATTTATAAACTCTTCCGATCGAATTGGCATTTTATTCGCTTCTTATTGAATACTTGAATCCTAAGGATCAATCTCGTTTCGAGGTGACGACATCACAACGTCCTTCGCTCGTCGATAGGCCTTCGAAATCGTTCTCAAGGACAAGCTTTCCTTCTCTCAAAGATATCAATTGAGATGAAATTTTAACAAAGATTTCGTCGCTGCTCCATCTTTGTCACGTGTTGAATAAAAATTCACGCGATTTGTGCGTTAATGAAAATGTTAGTATCACAAAAAAAATGTTACGAATGACAGGGACTTTTCTTGAATCAACGCGTTGAGCTCACCTCTCAAAGAGAACGCATTTACACATAAAAGGCCTTTCCCGAATAAGCCACGCCGCGGAGTAAGTAATTCACAAGCGGTAGAATAATTTACAAGCGACGTATCGCGAACCTTGAACTTCGTTCGGAACTTTGCATCGAAACCGCCGCGACTTGTGCCGGATCTCTTTCTTTGATTCAATCTCCCGATTTAGACGTCGCGATTGCGCACAAAATAAATCGCTTTCGCCTCCACTACTGCTACTTTAACGTTTTCTCTAATTCACTGCACCGTTAAATAAGGATATCCAATCTCGCGTACCGAATGTTACAAAATGTTACAAAATGTCAAACGTTAATTTTTCAACATTGAATCTTGGCGTGCGTTTTTCCGCGACGACTTCGATCGTGATAATTCAAACACATAAGAGCAACTGAGTTGCGAGATAGCTGCGCGCGGAATGACATGTCTGGGCTGCAAGTGACTCGCAATTATGCGAGATTCCCTACCGCTGGCGGTCGGTAATGACTCGTGTATCTGCACAACTCGCGTCGATGCTGCAGATAGTATAGTAGTCGCTTCCAGCGCGTACGTGTTGCAAACGACGCTGCGATAATTCTGGCACCGAATTCACGAGATGAAACATATTGCACCCGCTGAGACGCCTGTACAATCGAGAGATATTTTTGTCGTCTACTGGTCGCCGTACCTCCTCGATCGCGCGGTACTTGTCCTTTTTTTTACACACGTGCTGATGTAACAGCGCTTTCTTCGGCGATTTGCATAGTTACGACAGCGCGCGACAGTATTTTATACATATATGTATTTATTTATTTTTTAATCTTCTAAAGCTGGACTTTTCGTAAAAATAAATTATTTTTTAATAAAAGATTAAAAAATAATTTATATTTATATAAATTTATATATACTTATAATACATACTAAATTACTTTTGCCTAAAATAATTGTATTAAATATAAATTACTTTTTAATAGAAGATTAAAAAGAATTTATATTTACGAAAGGACTAGTTCAAGAAAATATTAGTTCTTTTTTTTTTAATTTGACTTGACAAATAAAAAATGGAGAAACTCTAAACGGATGAGGATTACTATTCGTACACATATATTCTTTTTAAACGACAAGCTTTCTGGTGTAAAAACCGGTTATATTACGATGAACACACCTACGTACCGCAAATATCCTGCTCGTTAAATTCAAGTAATGTCGTTGCAACAATTGCATCGATTACAACGATTGCGTTTTGAGAACGTAATAATATTTGTAACGATGAGATACCGACACCGAGTGAGACACATCTTCGTGAGAAGCGGTTCCATTCAGATGATACGTGGACCGTTTGGACCCAATCGGCGAAGAGAAAACGGCGGTGAGAACGGTTTTGTAATCGATTGCATCGAACGCAAATTCCTGAAATTCCGATTGACGGCGCAACGGAGAGGCGCCACGAGTGCGAGCCGCACGGGAGCTCATCGAGCAAAAGCCGGATCGGATGGAATGTGCGGTGAAAGGTTGAACGCGTTCTCGCTCTCGAAGAAAGGAGCAATAAGAAGTGCTCCCCGCAGCATTCGTGATTCAACGGCGGGCGCTGATGCTAAAATGATACACGTGCGCAGTTATCAACGCAGAGATTTCGCGGAGATCCTGCGAAAATCCCAGGAAGTCATCCCCGATTCACCTTATTCATCGTACACGATACGTCAAGAAACAATCGCTCTTTATCATTCGGAGTGAATGAAGATGGCAGCTCGTATGACTTTAATAAAATATGAGTTTTGGTAATGGATGGAGAAAGATCACACGTTATTTCCTATTTGCGGCACAGTACCTCAACTCAGCCTCATCCATGTGCGCCGGTACACACAAGCGGTACGCGTTAAATCCCTTTGAGAGAGAGAAGGAGACGAGTGAAGGAGAAACAACGCGCTCGTGATAATTAGAGCAACGCGGGTCGGCGGTGATTAAGGCACACTTCGGCACTGACACATCCACGAGGAACGAGCTGGCAATGTCTCGTAGGTCGTGAACACGCCGACGCCGAGACGCCTGGCGCGACACACGCAAGCGCAACCAGAGGACGCCAATCAATTCCACGCACGCAACCCATTTGCTTGTTTCAGTTCTAATCTCAATAGTATTTCTTTTTTTTTTTTTTTACGAAACTTTGTCGGCTTCTCGGCCGGTCAAATTGGATCAATTCAATCGAGAGCGCCTGCTACATTCATGGAAAATTGTCAAAGAATTTTGAAACGAATTTAAATATTTAAAAAATTGTATTATTAGTGCACTCTATACCTATTTAATATTTTTAAAATAATATTTAATATCTTTCCATCGGGATTTAATTTTTCATCTAAAAATTTGGCTAAAATTTGCGATAATATTAAATTATCGATAATATAAATAATATAAATTAAATATTAAGTTAAATAATAATTAATTACATTCAATGTTCTAATGTCTAAAAACCTTGTTTTCAACGAGAATGACGCTGTAGCGTAGTAAAAACGTTGAGCAAGCTACCATATACCGAGTCTTGTATTACACACGAGATAGAATCAAATTACGTGATTTCATTTTAATTACGAAGTAAAACAATTTAGTTTCTTGTTGAAAAATTAAAAATTATCAGCTCATACTTGACGTAATTTTTTATATGAAGAAACGTCGAATATCAATTAATTACTGATGTTAGCATATTTAACATATATATTTACATTAATTATATTACTTGCAGTTTACGTCATTCGATCATATTTTATGCAGCACTGATTGAACATCAGTCGTTGAAATAAAGAATTAATTTAGTTATTTTAATTAATACAACTATTAATAAATAAATGAGAGAACGATAAAAAATCTCTTAGTATTATAAATCGCAGGCTAGGTCTCGTGGTTTACTGATATTCTCAAGAGCTTATCGCTCATTCCTCGCCATTTCCTGGAAGATTCGAGTAACGTTTTTTACTCACGGCCAAGTACCGGATCGTCTCCGCCTGCGTGTTTCTGGTTCTCTGTCACGATCCTCGAGCAAGTGTCCCGCTGCGCTATCGTTTTCGTCGCCGGTTACGATGCCCTTGCACTCAGCTAGGCATCTCCAGTTGAGCACTTCGCTCACGCTTCGTCTGCGCGGCTTTTCCTTCACCATTTCCATCATCCGCGAAACATCTCCTTTAATTTTACCACGCGCGTCCTACTTCTTGCGCCGCCACAATCGAGATCGTACGATTTTACTTCCGCATGACTGCGCGCATCAAGGTGCAGCCGAGCGTTTTTGCATTATTGCCCTTCCTTTGCCTAATGAATGTCTTCGCGTAAGCCGGCATTAGAAACTCCTTTCAAACAGTTCATACGTTGTTATCGATATATACGTACGCGATTACCTTCGGAACGGATCGATTTCCAAGTCACGATCGACTGCCGCTTCCAGATAATCGATCTCACATCCTCCCGCGACGCGTCACTTTCGAATGCATGGTTAAATTATACGCTTTCCTTTTTTCGCAATAATAATCGTTCCTCTTGACATTTGGGAATCATCTCTCGCGATGGATGGGCGTGCGATTCGTGCGTACGGCGAGGTAAACAGTGTGCCTGATCAATCAACCGTAGCATAATTCTCGGTAAGAATCGCGGTGGTATCGTCTTTACCTTACTTCTTGTATAACATGCAAATAGCGTATTCAAGGACATAACTATAGTTGCGATTCCGGCCGCACTTTATGCACATTGTACGTAACGTGGACTTTAGTAATGACTGCTTTGAGTTTTATTGCAATTTTTTAGCTCGCCTTGAACCTTGATCCCGTCGGATCTGCGTGTCGAAAAACTTTCGAAAGAATGTCTCACGGGGCTTCGTTCTTGTTTCGCATTAACGTGTGTTTGCGACCTACTTCCTTACACAACCGTGGAATTTCACTTGCCAATGGACGAGGTGGCCGATAATGAGTCTCACTGCTCGCGGACGTCACGTTCGATTTTTTTTTTATCTTATCTGGTTAGTAACAGTCGCAATGGCAGCGCGAAACTTTTGATTTGCAAAATTTATTCCCAATCATTCTGCAGGTCTGTTTAAAATGCAGCTTTTTGCGATATAATGTTTTTGTAGATACACAGCGTTATATGTCTACGAATGCAATCTTTCTGGATTTTTAAATATATTTTTTTGGTGTGTACAACACCGTTTGAAGAAGATGTCTGTTACATATTTTTTAAAATGTTTGACGACACTACGATGTCGAAATTCTAGTTTCGCAAAAATTACGAGTTTTAATTACGATTTTGGCTTCACCACTGACATCCGCATCTTTATTTCGGTCCCGAAATATATGAATACACGGCTGCACTGATTTTGAAGTTAATTTCTCTTCGATAATTCGTATAGAAGAACATCATATCGACGAGAAAAGTGATCTAGCATTGCTCGTTAATGGGAACGATGAAAACGAGGCCTCGAAATGTTGGCACACACAACGCGCAACAACTACGATCGACGACCGCTGAAGGTTCACTGAGACGCGATTTTACCGGCCGTAGCCGGCCGAGAGACAGTTAAGGCTTTCTAACCCGCGTCTCTTTCCCCACCATCACGTGCCCTCGTTGTCGTCACGCTCGTGATATTGAAAAATTTATGAAAGGGTCGCAGGAGTTCGAGCGATTTGCGATACATTATCAGTGCAGCTACACAAGATAATCGAAGATTAGTAAATATAATGCATATGCACTGTACGTGCAAACAAATTTTGTTATTTCTTATTATCTTCTTATTCATTTTTGTTATTTGAAAAATTAAAATTGTTAGATTATTTAGAATGTTTTTATAATCAATCGTTTTGTAAGAAGAGGACGGTCTCTCATATTTCCGTAATTATATTCATTCATTTTTCTGTAATTATATCTAATAAATTTTAATGAAGCTATTCATTTTTGACGAAATATATTCCCCCTTTGGCTATGATAATATCTTGTTGGCCGAGTTATTATCATAATCGCGGTCGAAAATCTTATATCTTTACTATATACATTTATATTGTACATTTCTGATCGATGAAAGCAATAATAGTCTAAATAAGCGCGGTGCGAATTCGATGTCTTAAGTATAAGCAGATGCTGAATTCCTAAAAATGTTTTTACCAAACTGACATGACTCACTTCTATTTATCTTCTTTCTAATACTGAAAAAAAGACACTTCTTCATTCGTCTCGGCTTGTTTTCATTGTGTCGTATAGCGTACTTTCTCAGTTATCTACTGTATGTTCAGCCATATTTCTTTTCAAACATGATAATATTGAATAATGTATGATGTTGTAGATACTTGTAACCATGGCGAGTTTTTACATCACATGACAGCGTATACCTAGTAGTTAACTGCCCCTACTTTCGCTAGCGCATTAATTCAGCTTCTAGTAATCCAAAACGAAGAGTCTCTGGAGAATAAAAAATCAAACGATCGTTTATCTTAATAGACAAGAGAGAAACCTAATGCGTCTTTCTTCAGATACCTTCAGCGTTGAAATCTAACAGAAGTCATTTCAATTATGCGGTTACCAAAACAATTTAAGAAATGGATGTATACTGATCTTTCTTAATGCTGATAATAATAGTCTTCAAAAGATTTGATACTAATTGCACTTTAATTATAATTTAGCAATCGCTTCGGAATAAGTATACATTTTTTAATTTCTTATGTGACAGACAAATGTTGAAACTTTTTCTAAGGTGATGTCACGTATATCTTCATAACGATTATAATTTTAAATATTAGTATATATATAATATATATATATAAGATCGGAAGAGCACACGT